ATGAATTTTTTAAAAAATGTTTTATTTACTGAAATAGAAAACCACATTTACTGATATTTAATAGTAAAGTATCTTCTACCTGCTGTGGCCTATTAAAAATGTAGTACTGCATTAATTTCAAAAATGCTATGATTAAAATTAAAAATTCAAACTGGGTGTGGAGGTGCACACCTGTAATCCTACCTACTCAGGAATCTGAGGAAGGAGGATAGCAAATTTGAGCCCAACCTGGGCAACTTAGCTAGAACCTGTCACAAAATAAAAATTTTAAAAGGGCTAAGGATGTACCTTGGTGCTAGAGTGGTTCAATCCCCAGCACTACAATCAAGCAATACATACATTACATACTTACATACACACATACACACAGAGAGTTCAAGAAACAAACACACAGCACAGCCTTAAAGATACGTCTGAAAAATCCTTGTGCCTTAGGTGTGATACTTCTGTATTTCTTTGTTAATGAGGGAAGTTCTTAAAACTAAATCAGACAAGCATAAGTACAAATAAAAGCTTTTAAAATCACAGCCTGCTATTTAGGGAGCTAATCACAAAAGTACTTCTTATGAGACCAAGAGGGGGCTTTGCTTAGTAAAATCAATACGATTCAAGTTAAGATGTCCTACTTGTGATGCTTTTGACTCTCGAAATGTACCTCTCATATAAAGCAATTTATGAAAAAGGCCTTAAATCATACCACAGTTTGCCAAGAGTCACCCTATTCTCTATCCCCTACTCCCAACCCCCGAACTGAAACCATGCCCAGAACCTTAAGACTCTTATGCTGTTGGCAGCACTCAATCTCCCGAGTACTATGTTACAATGAGCATGATAAAAAATAGAGATACAGAGGGAGGAAGTTTTATACAGAAAACTGACAGTCAAAACTGACGTTTCCTGACCATCACTCAAGCACTTATTCAGGTCCTCACTTCTCTCTAGCCCATAGTTTCCCAAAATGTGGCCCTGGGAATCAAAGCATCATCAGAGAGCTTGTTAGAAATACAAATTCACAGCCCCACCCCAGACCAACTGAATCCAAACTCTGGGAATGAGGCCCAGCAATTTGTGTTTTACAGACACTACAGAAGATTACTAGGTACACTAAGATTTAAAAACCAGGCCTCCTCAAACTTTAAAGTGCATAAAAATCACCTGGGGAGCTCGTTAAAAATGCAGATTCTAACTCAGCAAGTCTGATGCAGGGCCTGAGAGCTTAGATAGCTAAGCTCCCAGGTGATGTCTTCTGTAGGCCACATTGCAGCCATTTCCCAAATCAGTTGTTTACCAAAATTACCCACGCTGCTCATAAAGCACGGACTCCATGGCATCACCCCAGACAAAATTAACCTGACTCTCAAGAGAAACACCTAGAAGATACTCACTGGTTCTCCATCCCAACTACACATTAAAGAGCTTTTAATAATCCTTGATTCCCAGGTCCCTCCAAGATCAATTAAATCAGAATCTCTGGGCCTGGAACCCAAGCATTCCTATTTTTAATAACTTTCCAGTGATTCTAATATGCAAGCAAGTTTGAAAACAACTGCTTTGAAATCTGGCTCAAAACCTAGCACACCAAATCTTCTTAGAGTTGCAAACAGGTTCCTATAAAATGGCTAACAGTGCTCCCTTACAATGCCCATAATGTCATGTTGTTCTCATGTCTTGAACTTTATTTCTGTGGACAAATGTGCTCTCTACAATGGGGTAGGTAATCCAAAAACAGCAACAATGAAGAATCTTTATATGGCCCATTCATATGTTGACATCTCCTCCACCACTGAATCACATAGATGACTTGAAATTCCTAATAATCTTTCAGAGTGGAAGGATAAATGATGGATCTGTAACCTCTAAACTTAAAAAAGTCAGATTTTACCAGTTACAGATATTCTGACAGAAAGGTCCTGGAAAGGAATGAAAATAGTGTGTTTTTTACATATGAGAATTTGAAAGTGTCAAAACACAGGCCAGGGATTTAGCTCAGAAGCACCGTGCCTCGCAAGCACAAGGTCCTGAGTTCAATCCCTGGTAAACCTGCAGCATTTTCTGGTGGAAAGACTGGATCTCAAACATACTGCTCATGGTGTGACACTAACTCCTAGAAAAAAGCCCACTATGTGTATCAATGTTTGTGGGGGTGGGTACTGGGATTGAACCCAAGGCCTTGGCACTGAGCTACACTACACCCCCAGCCCATTTTAATTTTTTTTTTTTTAGACAGACATTGCCCAGGCTGGGCTCAGACTTGTGATCTTCCTGACTCACCACTCTAGTCATCTACTGATGTCTTATGAAATCTAACACAATGCCATACTAATAAGCACACAATACTATTGAATATATTAAATTAAAAACTGTATGGTGCTTAAGACATTATTAAATGACTGCAGTTATCTCACTGCCATAAACAAGAAATTTTCCTTAATTTCACACAGTATACTACAAAAATGAGCTTAAAAAATGAAAGTCAGAAATGGTTACTGATACCTAAAATCCCAGCACTCTGACATACTGAAGCAACAGGATCACAAGCTCAAGCCCAGTAATTAGCAAAATCCTGTATTAAAATTTTTTTTAAAAAAAATTTTAAAGGGCTAGGGTTGGAGCACAGTGTGAAGGCCCTGGGTCCAATCTCCAGTACCACACACACACCAAGATAAATGAAAATAAGATGCAGACTTCTTTTCACTTAAGTGAACTTTCATTCTCTGCTTGGTCTTGTTCAGCATGCACTCTAAATTTGGTATTCTGGAAAATACATGACACACTTACTCAAGGCCTATTACGTGATAATAGTTATTATTCTTCCACCACCATTTCAACATACAGTAGTCAACAATTAGTCTTATTCATCTGCTTAATTCCTTGAAAAAGAAATCCAGTGTCTGGTGTATTAGAAGAGAAACAAATACCTGAATATGTGTGCAATGGGGCCACTGTGAAAATGATATTTTCAAAAGCATTTTTCTGTATAAATTGGTCAAGCTCACTTTCCTCTTAAAATTCTTGTTATAGTCATTCAGTTAACCCAAACTCACTTTAAAATATGGGAAAATAGCACCTCTGGAAAGTGTGTTCTCATATGCTTTGAAGCCATAGAGCATGAATACTAGGACAGCCTTTGACAAACTCATGTACCAACTCAGGAACTAAATAGGAGTGAATTTTTAGTCCCACGGCTTTGTAGAGGCAACTTAAGTATCATCCAGGTGTAGTTTTAATAAATCACAGACATAAAAGTGAAGGTAGAAAAGTCACAAATAGGTGACTGAAGCTAATAAATATTTAATAGATTGCTTTTACATGGCAGTCTTTTCAAATTAAATTTTAATTCTTAAATCAAAAAAAGAGAAAGAAAGAAAGAAAAAAAGAAAGAAAGAAAGAAGGAAACTGGCTAAGGTGTGGACTTAGAATTCAAGCTCCTAGAATTAACACTATGAAATTTATGAAGATACTCAATTTCTTTGACAAGTGTCTGCCTAGATGCCTTTTCATACATTTTTCATGAACCAATGCCCAAAGATGAACCAAGTCTAGAAGAAAATACAACACAAAAGAGTCATACAAAATTAAAGACATTTACAGTACCAAAACCAAAGAAAACAAACAGTACAAATACACAATTTCCAGGACATTTTATTGTTATTTTCCACTTTACAAATTAATTTTATATTTTTAGTCTAGGCAGAAATTGTTTATACTTATCCAATAGTTCTATCCCCAATCTCACAAAATGAAATGAAACAGTTTAAACAGAACATCAATTCAGGTATTTATGTGAAACCAGGGACAGTTGTCTTAACCAGAAAAGTTGATGATTTTCACTGAGTTCCAATGATTTTTTTCTCTATTATTTTTCTTGTTGATACTAAGTACTTATAATAAAAACAACCATCCTTTTTCCCATTCTGCCCTCTCTTGGTCTTTACATTCTGTTTCGCATTTAACTCAAAAAGTCAGTTTACTCTAAGCTTACACATTTTATAAAAAAGCATACGTCCCCTCTCCCACATCCAAATGGACAGGAATTAGAATTAATCTGGCTTTTGGCTGTAAGAGGGCTATTATAAATACTTTCAGCTACACATTTGAGGGGAAAATAATTTAAAGTACAAATTCCAAAGAAAACCATAAAAGTGCCTACATATTTACCGCTGAATAATCTCTCAAATCATTGATTACAACACAGATTTCTCAGAAGTAAAATCAACACAAAAGCGAATACACACAATGTACAAACTGACAGTGGCTCTGTGGGGGCAGTTCTCACTGAATGAGCTATTACTCCGACAGGAGAAATAAGCGGGGGGGGGTCTCGCTCTTTAAATGTGAGGAAACCGGCGGTGCGCTCACTTCACTAGAAACACATTATAATGGGTACGTTCGAATAAAAACAGATAATAAGGGAAAATGTGTTTTAAAAACCTCCCCCCTCCCTGGGACACAAGGAAACCCGGAAAGAAAGAAAAAAAAAGAGATGTGTAATCTTCTCAAGCTCCGGAGCCAAGTTCCATCTCTAGCAGAACAGAAGTTGAATAGTTGCTATTTTTCAATGCAATGGGATAGTAACTATGTACAGGTACACAGAGCGGGAATACTGGCGGGGCTTTCACATGGGGTAATGGAAACTGAAGTGAGGAGAGGTCAGCACCTTAAATAATCCAGATCTCCAAAACCGGGACGGCGTGGGGTTGAATGCGGTAGCAAGAAGAAAAGGAAGGGGTCAAAACTCCTCAAAGTTACTGCAAAGAGAAAGCGAACAGCTCTCGAAGCCAGGGGGCCATCTATTCTAGCAGCACCCTGCTCCAAGTATAGGGTGCCTGCCTCGCGGGGCAGAAAGCGCGGGGTGCCCTTACTTAGGTCGAGTGGCTTGAGACCCGATCAGGGAGAGGGATAGGGACACGCGGCGGCGGGAAGGCGGACTCACACTTTGCCTCAACTCTGAGCCCCATCCCGAGCGCAAGGGAGAGGGCGGCGGAGGGCACGGTACTCACTAGGGCTCGTTGGTGAACCGGGGGGTACGGGGCTGCTGGTATCCGTACAGGTGACAGTAGAGCACATCGAAGCAAAAGCAGCACATCTCCGCTGACACCACCATCTTCCGGGAGACCGGTGATGAGGACGAAGCGGCGGACGAAGAGGAGGGCGAGGAAGCGGAGGCGGCGGCCGGGGTAGAAAGTAGGGTCCCCACTCCGCCACCGCAACCCTGGGGGGCAGAGAGGGTACAGCCACTGCTGCTACCTACTCCGGTTAGACCTCCCAGCCCGTTGAGCCTCGTACCGGCGCCTGCTAGTCCCAGCTCACCAGCTCTACACTGGCTCTCCCCGCTGCAGTGGGAGGAGGAGGAGGCGCCACCACCGCCACCAGAGCCAGAGGGGGGCGAACTGGACAGTTTCTGTTTCTTCACCCCACAGCAACCCGCCGCCATCTTGGAACAGTCTCCCCCACGCAGCGCTTCCGACCCATAAGTGAAGCGAGCTGGCGGCGGGGGCGAGC